TTGGCAGATCTGGCAAACCACTTTTTTTTTTACCCAGCCCTACTGTCCTATTCCTCACCTCTGTGATACCAAATGGGATATTGCCCACGTAGAGTCGGCGGGCCTGCCGGGTCATCTGGCTGCCCACTACAGGTACAGGGGTGGGAGTAACAGCCAGGCCATCTGGAGTCATGGTCGGCAGAAGGGCTGTGGCAGGGATCTGGCCCGCAGCTGGAGAGCAAAGCCAAAGACAGGAACATTTAACAATCTGATTATATAGCCGATTATATAGTTTTATAACCATACCGTAGCTTAAAGTGCGTATTACTGATGTGTTGCAATAATATAAGGTTGCACTAACCACTGTAGTACAACATGTAGGTAACAACAAAACATTTAAAATATTTAACTGTGAAACTAAAGAGCATGTTGAAAACAAATTCAATAAGACAAGAAAACTGAGGTTTACCTTGCATGGCTTTGTACTGCATGGGAGTGATGTGTTCGAAACCAGGTGGAGGGACATCCCAGTACTTCTTCACCTTCTTCTTCTTCTCCCGGTGTGGAGAACGGCTGTTAGAGGAAGAGCGGACAGATGAAATAAAAGTAAAACAATCAACATGCAACAGATATCTCTAGCACAGCAATAAACTACTAAATCCGATGATGGGTCATGGTTTCAAAAACATACTACAAAAATCTAGTAACAGTTTGGGGACACCATCAATCAAAACTCTGTAGAGGTGTTAACGTGGTGGTAAAGGGAAGAAAAGGGACAGAAAACCCATCCAGGCAGACATTTACACAATGAGTCAATAGTACATAGAATCAGAGGCAGGACATTAAATTGCAGTTGTTGCAATAATGCACAAACTGGCTTTGTGTTAGTTTGCTGTATTACCTTCCAGCATTGTCCTGGGGGTAGCTGGATGGTGAGCTGAAATGACATTGGAAGGGTTTCACATTTCTCTCAAATCAACCATGACATACACCAACATTTCCACTTCACAAAATAAGAACCTGAATTACTACAACCATCACCAAATACAAATTACTATCAGGGACCCTGGCAATCTGTATATTTCTAAAAGCGCAAAATCCTTTCAAGTTCACACAGACAAACCGGGGCATTAAGTGCTCTTAGCTGACGTGTAACACCACAACTGATGATGCAATGAAAGCAGAAAGGATATCTTCAAAACACACACAGCATCAGCAAAGCGGAGGGGTAGAATTTTTCTAGGGGTGCCCGATATATTTTTAACCCATACGATAACCGATAATTACCTTCCTCTCATGGCCAATACTCATAAGATAAATTTCACGTTTTTGTATGGTAAAAAGAAGTTCAGAGTGTAAGATATAGTCAGCAAAGATGGAGGATTTAATACTCTATACTCTGATCCAACCAAATCTAACTGACATTACTGTTGTCACACAACAAAAACAACATTTCCGACTCATCAAATGTTCCTTTTTTCCCCCAGTAAAGTACTTAAAAAACTTCAAACATACTTTGGCTTTCCTAGACTAGCCTATAAATTGTTTTGCATCTGTCCCCGAAATTTTACATTTTCTGTGAGTGTGTGACCGCAAGTAACTTGGTTTAAATTACCACAGAGAAGAGGAGCAACAGTCAGGCCAAAGGTTGCATTCACAGCCAACAGGAAGTAGAGTTTACACGCTTTATAAAAGTCCATGTTAGAAATAATGCGTTCAAGCAGTCACTAAGGAGATGTGTGACTTCAAACTGCCTTATACAAACAGAATCCACAGCCCTGACTATCAATAGCAGAGTTACTGAAAAGCATATTTTTCAAAAGATATTATCCTGAACCCTTCTAATCATGTCATGCAGGTGTTACGTGCCCAGAAGTGAACATGTTTCCTTGACAACAGACAGGCTTGTCACATATGGAGGTGGTTATCAACAGTTCTGGGAAGAACTTGCACCAGTATGAAAATGTTCTCGCAGCCGCAAGCCTAAAGAGATTCTATCAAACCGCGCAGCTCATAATTAGAGAATTAAACACATACTGCATATGTCAAAGACAACAGGGCAAAGAATCTAAAGTGACAGACATTATTTTCCTTTTAACTTATATTAACGCGTGGGATTTATGTTTCAAGGATGGATCGGAAATGATTCATCAAACCATTTATAATTCAGACTTGATATCCTGCATTACATTAAAACGATTATAAAAGAGGTTGCAGTCGTTACTTTGTGTATTCAAATGTTTGTCCCATTTGTACTGTGACAGAGAGAAAAATAGACTATATAAAAGTCTGTTATAGAAATCACGCTCTAAATATAAAGTCAGTGATCCACAGTTACACTTTAAAGTCACAACTTGCTGCAGACACCTGTTTGTGGCACCAACCCCTGAAATTCTCAATGGATGACAGGAGTGGGCTTGGAAGGTTATTTATTTATTTTTTTAGTCAATGCTAATGGACGAGTGTCATTGTCTGTGTGCATTAGCTTGAGTTTGGAATTTGTAGCCACCTACAACAGAGTGGGCGACTGGTCGAGTGCCAAGACCAAGCCGAGGATCTAGGGAAGTTAATGTGGCAAAAACGCATGTGTGCACATCCAGATTGATATGTAGCTCGTATTTCTTAGCGTTGGTATTTACTAGTCTGAAACACTTAATTTTTATCCAGTCCAGTAGGGAGGGATGTATGATGATGTTCACAGCTTACTGGTCCAGGTGTAGTTGTATGAAGGTACGAACCTGCGTCTGTGTCTGCGCTCCTTACTGTCCCCACGGCGGTCCCTGCTGCGTCTATCCCGGTCTCTGCTCCTCCTTTTCCTCTCTCTGCTACGGCTGCGGGAGGAGGACCGGCGGTGGTGGCGGTTTTCTTTATCCCTTTCAGCTGCAGGAGTGCAGAGTGCTTATTAAATTACAAAAACAGTATATAAATATAAGCAGGTTACCAGTGAAACAATGACCGGAAAACAATTATTAACAGATACTAATAATTTTCAAATGAAATGTACACATAGATGGAAATTAGATAGGCAATGAGCAAGACCACTGAGTATGAATCTGTCCAACATAACTTAATTCACATGGTAATACTGAAGCTGATAATATGGCGGTAGCAATTTTATAGCGAAACAGCCCATAGAGTCGTGGTAGGCAACAATCAATGCAATGCACCCATTCTGTATAAAACTTAAACCTGGACAAAAGAAAGTTTAAAGTTTTGGTTCAAAGTGTCATAATATGTAATTTGGCCAGCTCTAATCCTGACATTGTCTACTACCTATGTGCAGTATATTGAGTGTAAAGGTAAATCTAGGTTAAAGAGAGCTTATGATAGAAGGGTAATGGCTATGGTTTGGTGGTATTATTGGCTGGGTGTGAGAAAGCTAGTGATAATAACAGCTATAAAGAAGTGGCAGCTACTAAAAAAATAAAAAATAAAAATAATGAATGCTAGCTACCCCAGTCAGTCAGCTGGCACAGGCAGGATAACTACCATGATATAGACTGCCCCTGCATTAAAGACAATGCAAGTTACCTTCAAACAGCTCAGCCAGCTACCGACATTTATACACTAAATTACAAAAACGTGTAACTATTTAATGCCAGCCATAATAAGTCAGACAGTACTGCCCGAGGCGACAAACACTAACTTACAACCGCATATCAGATGGTACAAGACCGTGGGCTAATGATGTAGCTCACAATGCTCCAGTAAATAGACATATCCGTGGCAGGCTAAAACGATGGCGGCAACTCCAACATTAAAAGTACAGATAACACATCAACTGCTGACGTACGAGTGGGTCATTCACCTTGTTTGTTTTCAGAGAGCTGCCTTTCAAATTCGTCGAAGTCCGACATCTCTGTGAGTTGAAGGCTGCTACGATTTCAGCGACTGCGTTGTTCAGTCGGCGGTGGCTAGCGTGTGCTAGCAGCAGAGTGAACAACACTTAAAAAAAAAAAAAACACACACAAGCGCCTCGCTGGTGTAGCTCGAGTCAATTCACAGCCCGTGTAACAACAAAAACTACAAGACGACGTTAACCGGCACACACGTGGGCGGTGTGGTGTTCATTTACAACGCAACAGAGGAAATCATTGAGGAAGAAAACGTGTTCGCATGGGTTAGCCTGCTAACGGTAGCTAACTAGCTCAGAAGAAAAGGCCCGCCGCTGCTGCAGACACTGTTAGCCACCGAGCTAACGAGCTACGGACAAACCCCAATGAATGAGACTATTTTCAAAGCCAAATGCAAATCCCCAGACGGTCACTGGCCCACAAGGCGCAGTTGTTTGACTGTATAGGTCAAATGTATGCGCGTTGAAGTGTTTTAAGCCGAGTGAAAACAATAAAGATTTCGGTATGCCCGCTTTTTTTGCTCCGTCTCCCAGCTACCCCGTGACACCGGACGTTGATGAATGACACGTTTCCGGTGAGTGAAGAAGACGCTTCGAAGCTGCTTCAGGGTCAC